ATTCTATTGTGCCAGAATATTTTTTGTTCCGTTATAACAGAATACTTTCCTGTTCAACTATGACAGAATACTTTCTTGTTCCACTGTGACTGAATGCTTTCTTGTTCCACTCTGACTGAATGCGTACTTGTTCTACTTTGACTGAATGCTTTCTTGCTCTACTGTGACTGAATGCGTTCTTGTTCCACTGTGATAGAATGCCTTCTTGTTCTACTGTGACTGAATGCGTTCTTATTCCTCTGTGACTGAATACTTTCTTGTTCCACTGTGACTTAATGCTTTCTTATTCTACTGTGCCTGAATGCTTTCTTGTTCCACTGTGACTGAATGCTTTCTTGTTCCACTGTGACAAAATGCTTTCTTGTTCCACTGTGACTAAAAGCTTTCTGGTTCTATTGTGATTGAATGCTTTCTTGTTCAACTTTGCCAGAATAATTTTTTGTTCCGTTATTACAGAATGCTTTCTTGTTCCACTATGACAGAATGCTTTCTTGTTCCACTGTGACTGAATGCTTTCTTGGTCAACTGTGACTGAATGCGTTCTTGTTCCACTGTGATAGAATGCTTTCTTGTTCTACTGTGACTGAATGCGTTCTTGTTCCACTGTGACAAAATACTTTCTTCTTCCACTGTGACTGAATGCTTTCTTGCTCGCTTCTCAGAATAATTTTTTGTTCCACTATGACAGAATACTTTCTTGTTCCACTGTGACTGAATACTTTCTTGTTCTACTGTGATTGAATGCTTTCTTATTCTACTGTGATTGAATGCTTTCTCGTTCCACTGTGATTGAATGCTTTCTTATTCTACTGTGATTGAATGCTTTGTTGTTTCACTGTGATAGAATGCTTTCTTGTTCTACTGTGACTGAACGCTTTCTTGTTCCATTGTGACTGAATGAGTTCTTGTTCCACTGTGACTGAATGAGTTCTTGTTTCACTGTGATTGAATTCTTTCTTGTACTATTGTGACTGAATGCTTTCTTGTTCCACCGTGACTTAATGCTTTCTTGTTTCACTGTGATACAATGCTTTCTTGTTCTACTGTGACTGAATGCTTTTTTGTTCTCTTGTACCAGAATAATTATTTGTCCCACTTTGACAGTATACTTTCTTGTTCCACTGTGACTGAATGCTTTCTTGTTCCACTGTGACTGAATGCTTTCTTATTCTATTGTGCCAGAATATTTTTTGTTCCGTTATAACAGAATACTTTCCTGTTCAACTATGACAGAATACTTTCTTGTTCCACTGTGACTGAATGCTTTCTTGTTCCACTCTGACTGAATGCGTACTTGTTCTACTGTGACTGAATGCTTTCTTGCTCTACTGTGACTGAATGCGTTCTTGTTCCACTGTGATAGAATGCTTTCTTGTTCTACTGTGACTGAATGCGTTCTTATTCCACTGTGACTGAATACTTTCTTGTTCCACTGTGACTTAATGCTTTCTTATTCTACTGTGCCTGAATGCTTTCTTGTTCCACTGTGACTGAATGCTTTCTTGTTCCACTGTGACAAAATGCTTTCTTGTTCCACTGTGACTGAATGCTTTCTGGTTCTATTGTGACTGAATGCTTTCTTGTTCAACTTTGCCAGAATAATTTTTTGTTCCGTTATTACAGAATGCTTTCTTGTTCCACTATGACAGAATGCTTTCTTGTTCTACTGAAAGGTTTCTTCTTCTGCTGTGATAGAATGTTTTCTTGGTCAATTGTGACAAAATGTCGCCTTGCCCTACTGTGACTGAATGGCGGCCGATTTAATTTTCAGTTTGCTTGTAGACCCTACGTATTTCACGTTCTATCGAGCGCTACTCGAGCGATATATCCTCTTCATATCTCACATGTTTATTTGGCGATATACTATATACAACAAATATACCCCCTAGATGTGTTATGAATCACAAGTGTATTTATCGACATATTTCCGATATTAACACTACAAGCATCATATATCACAAGTGTATTTATTGTTATACTTCATCCGACTTATCCTCTAGAAGCGTTATAAATCACATGTGTATTTATCGCTACACATTAGATATTACCACGACAAAAGCCTCTACCAATACTTTGCCAAGCACCGGATGATTTTCGCTTCGTGTCCTGACAGTTGACTTGAGGTACTGGTCCCTTTATGGTTTGCCTGCCAAGATGGTTTCACAAATGTTCGATGGATTTAATGTGAGGAGAACATGCAATTGCGAGACAGACATGTTCATGTTGTTGATGAAGGCCTGCAAATAGCGTTGTGATGTTGGAAGAGTACACGGTCTGTCTGTTTTGCAGACCTGCGTCAGCCTTCCAGTTTGTGGTCTAGTGTTGTCTTGATGGAAGAGTATACCACATGGCTGTTGTTGCAGTTTGTGGTGTAGCGTTGTCTTGTTGGAAGAGTATACGGTATATCTGTTGTTGCAGTCATGCGTCAACCTTCCAGTTTGTGGCCTAGTGTTGTCTTGTTGGAAGAATATACCACGTGGCTGTTGTTGCAGTTTGTGGTGTAGCGTTCTCTTGTTGGAAGAGTATACCACATGGCTGTTGTTGCAGTTTGTGGTCTAGTGTTGTCTTCTTGGAAGAGTATGCCATGTGGATGTTGTTGCAGTTTGTAGTGTAGCGTTGTCTTGTTGGAAGAGTTATCACATGGCTGTTGTTGCAGTTTGTGATGTAACATTGTTTTGTTGGAAGAGTATACGGTATGTCTTTTGTTGCAGTTTTTGGTCCAGTTTTGTTTTGTTGGAAGTTACCACGTGGATGTTGTTGCAGTTTGTGGTGTAGCGTTGTCTTGTTGGAAGAGTTATCACATGGCTGTTGTTGCAGTTTGTGGTGTAGCGTTCTTTTGTTGGAAGAGTATACCACATGGCTGTTGCAGTTTGTGGTCTAGTGTTGTTTTGTTGGAAGGGTATAACACGTGGATGTTGTTGCAGTCATGCGTAAGCCTTGCAGTTTGTGGTCTAGTGTTGTCTTGTTGGAAGAATATATCACGTGGCTGTTGTTGCAGTTTGTGGTGTAGCGTTGTCTTGTTGGAAGAGTTATCACATGGCTGTTGTTGCAGTTTGTGGTGTAGCGTTCTTTTGTTGGAAGAGTATACCACATGGCTGTTGCAGTTTGTGGTCTAGTGTTGTTTTGTTGGAAGGGTATAACACGTGGATGTTGTTGCAGTTTGTGGTCTAATGTTGTTTTGTTGGAAGAGTATACCACGTGGCTGTTGTTGCAGTTTGTGGTCTAATGTTGTTTTCTTCGAGAGTATACCACGTGGATGTTGTTGCAGTTTGTGGTCTAGTGTTGTCTTGTTGGAAGAGTATACCACATGGCTGTTGTTGCAGTTTGTGGTCTAATGTTGTTTTGTTGGAAGAGTATACCACGTGGCTCTTGTTGCAGTTTGTGTTCTAGTGTTGTTTTATTGGAAGAGCATACCACATGGCTGTTGTTGCAGTTTGTGATGTAACGTTGTCTTGTTGGAAGAGTATACCACATGGCTGTTTTTGCAGTCATGCGTAAGCCTTGCAGTTTGTGGTCTAGTGTTGTTTTGTTGGAAGAATATACAACGTGGCTGCTGTTGCAGTTTGTGATGTTGCGTTGTCTTGTTGGAAGAGTATACCACGTGGCTTTTGTTGCAGTTTGTGTTGTAGCGTTGTTTTGTTGGAAGACTATATCACGTGGCTGTTGTTGCAGTTTGTGATGTAACGTTGTCTTGATGGAAGAATATACCACGTGGATGTTGTTGCAGTTTGTGGTGTAGCGTTGTCGTGTTGTAAGAGTATAGCACGAAGATGTTGTTGCAGTTTGTGGTCTAGTGTTGTTTTGTTGGAAGAGTATAACACGTGGCTGTTGTTGCAATTTGTAGTGTAGCGTTGTCTTGGAAGAGTATACCACATGGCTGTTGTTGCAGTTTGTGATGTAACGTTGTTTTGTTGGAAGAGTATACGGTATGTCTTTTGTTGCAGTTTTTGGTCTAGTGTTGTTTTGTTGGAAGAATATACCACGTGGATGTTGTTGCAGTTGGTGGTCTAGCGTTGTTTTGTTTCAAGAGTATACCACGTGGCTTTTGTTCCAGTTTGTCGTGTAGTCTTGTCTTTTATTAAGAGTATTTGGTTTGGCTGTTGAAGAAACGGCGTGAAAACTTCACATCGATACCTCCTCCTCCGCATCCTCCATACCTCCATACGTCTAAACCTCCTGGAGAAGTGAGTGAGTGAGTGAGCATGCTTTTACGCCGCTTTAAGCAACATTCCAGCAATATCACGGCGGGGGACACCGGAAATTGGCTTTACACAACGAATTCGGGCCTTCAGCGTGACGAGCGAACGCTTTAACTACTAGGTTACCCATCTCCCCCCCTTCTGGACACAGACAGGCGCTACGCTTTGATCTTGATGTCTGCATACAAGTTGCCGACTATCAGCTCTGAACAGGCAATTCCTGCTCTCGTCAGAACAAAACTCGTCCCCAGTTCCGCACTTGTCTACGGCCACGCTCCTGCCCATCTCAGTCTGTCACGTCAGTGTCGTTGCGTAAAGGCCACCCGGTGGGGTCGACATGCTCTGATACCATGTTCCCTCAATCTTGCGTTGATCCAGCCTCAACAGTCCTTGCCATCGCACTTCTTCAGCCTTTGTGAAGCCTGTGTCACTGCTGATGATTTGTGAACTTACAACGTCTCTTTCAGCCTGAGAGGACATTTGTTGATACTGTCAGGATGAATTCATGTTTCATGGACGTCAATAAAATTTTTGTTGCCAAATTGTCCTTCGCGTTTATCTATTTCTTTCCATGAGAGTCAGTGATGCAGAGGGACGTTTTTTCAGAGGATGCCGAAATCCCTTCCGACAAGCGTTCTATAACATGTATATGTATCGATAATACACAGGTGTATTAATTGCCATAATATAATGTGGGTATTTCTCCGGCAATATTTATATCTTTATCATATTTTGGGTCCAATGGGTTGTTTTGATTAGGGCAAGTGTAAGTCCACTGTTATGGCGATGATGTTATTTCAGTGACCAAGCCGATAGCAGATGCGAAAGCGGTGAGCAAAGGCGACCACATTTTGACGTTCCCTAGCGACGACCCCGAGAAAGACGACATCACCTACTCCATTCTGATGAGTCCCGCGTCCTCACTGTTCCAGGTCAATCCAGGTAAGCACACTCACATGGACCAGTGCACCTGCTCCTCCTTCTCCAAGCTCCTCCTTACACCTGCTCCTCCTTCTCCCAGCTCCTCCTTACACCTGCTCCTCCTTCTCCCAGCTCCTCCTTACACCAGCTCCTCCTTCTCCCAGCACCTCCCCACACCAGCTCCTCCTTCTCCTAGCACCTACCCACACCTGCTCCTCCTTCTCCCAGCACCTCCCCACACCTGCTCCTCCTTCTCCCAGCACCTCCCCACACCTGCTCCTCCTTCTCCCAGCACCTCCCCACACCAGCTCCTACTTCTCCGAGCACCTCCCCACACCTGCTCCTCCTTCTCCCAGCACGTCCCCACACCTGCTCCTCCTTCTCCCAGCACCTCCCCAAACCTGCTCTTCCTTACACCTGCTCCTCCTTCTCCCAGCTCCTCCTTACACCTGCTCCTCCTTCTCCCAGCTCCTCCTTACACCTGCTCCTCCTTCTCCCAGAACCTCCTTACACCTGCTCCTCCTTCTCCTAGCACCTCCCCACACCTGCTCCTCCTTCTCCCAGCACCTCCCCACACCAGCTCCTACTTCTCCCAGCACCTCCCCACACCTGCTCCTCCTTCTCCCAGCACGTCCCCACACCTGCTCCTCCTTCTCCCAGCACCTCCCCAAACCTGCTCTTCCTTACACCTGCTCCTCCTTCTCCCAGCTCCTCCTTACACCTGCTCCTCCTTCTCCCAGCTCCTCCTTACACCTGCTCCTCCTTACACCTGCTCCTCCTTCTCCCAGAACCTCCTTACACCTGCTCCTCCTTCTCCTAGCACCTCCCAACACCTGCTCCTCCTTCTCCCAGCTCCTCCCCACGCCTGTTCCTCCTTCTCCTAGCACCTACCCACACCTGCTCCTCCTTCTCCCAGCTCCTCCCCACACCAGCTCCTCCTTCTCCCAGCACCTCCCCACACCTGCTCCTCCTTCTCCCAGCACCTCCCCACACCTGCTCCTCCTTCTCCCAGCACCTCCCCACACCAGCTCCTACTTCTCCGAGCACCTCCCCACACCTGCTCCTCCTTCTCCCAGCACGTCCCCACACCTGCTCCTCCTTCTCCCAGCACCTCCCCAAACCTGCTCTTCCTTACACCTGCTCCTCCTTCTCCCAGCTCCTCCTTACACCTGCTCCTCCTTCTCCCAGCTCCTCCTTACACCTGCTCCTCCTTCTCCCAGAACCTCCTTACACCTGCTCCTCCTTCTCCTAGCACCTCCCCACACCTGCTCCTCCTTCTCCCAGCACCTCCCCACACCAGCTCCTACTTCTCCCAGCACCTCCCCACACCTGCTCCTCCTTCTCCCAGCACGTCCCCACACCTGCTCCTCCTTCTCCCAGCACCTCCCCAAACCTGCTCTTCCTTACACCTGCTCCTCCTTCTCCCAGCTCCTCCTTACACCTGCTCCTCCTTCTCCCAGCTCCTCCTTACACCTGCTCCTCCTTACACCTGCTCCTCCTTCTCCCAGAACCTCCTTACACCTGCTCCTCCTTCTCCTAGCACCTCCCAACACCTGCTCCTCCTTCTCCCAGCTCCTCCCCACACCTGTTCCTCCTTCTCCTAGCACCTCCCCACACCTGCTCCTCCTTCTCCCAGCACCTCCCCACACCTGCTCCTCCTTCTCCCAGAACCTCCTTACACCTGCTCCTCCTTCTCCCAGAACCACCTTACACCTGCTCCTCCTTCTCCCAGAACCTCCTTACACCTGCTCCTCCTTCTCCCAGAACCACCTTACACCTGCTCCTCCTTCTCCCAGCTCCTCCCCAAACCTGTTCCTCCTCTCAGTTCCTCCTTACACCTGCTCCTCCTTCTCCCAGCTCCTCCTTACACCTGCTCCTCCTTCTCCAAGCACCTCCCCACACCTGCTCCTCCTTCTCCCAGCTCCTCCTTACACCTGCTCCTCCTTCTCCAAGCACCTCCCCACACCTGCTCCTTCTTCTCCCAGCTCCTCCCCAAACCTGTTCCTCCTCTCAGTTCCTCCTTACACCTGCTCCTCCTTCTCCCAGCTCCTCACACCTGCTCCTCCTTCTCCCAGCTCCTCCCCACACCTGCTCCTTCTTCTCCCAGCTACTCCCCAAACCTGTTCCTCCTCTCAGTTCCTCCTTACACCTGCTCCTCCTTCTCCCAACTCCTCACACCTGCTCCTCCTTCTCCCAGCACCTCCCCACACCTGCTCCTCCTTCTCCCAGAACCTCCCCACACCTGCTCCTCCTTCTCCTAACACCTCCCCACACCTGCTCCTCCTTCTCCTAGCACCTCCCCACACCTGCTCCTCCTTCTCCCAGAACCTCCCCACACCTGCTCCTCCTTCTCCCAGAACCTCCTTACACCTGCTCCTCCTTCTCCCAGAACCTCCTTACACCTGCTCCTCCTTCTCCCAGCTCCTCTCCACACCTGCTCCTCCTTCTCCTAGCACCTCCCCACACCTGCTCCTCCTTCTCCCAGAACCTCCTTACACCTGCTCCTCCTTCTCCCAGAACCTCCTTACACCTGCACCTCCTTCTCCCAGCTCCTCCCCAAACCTGTTCCTCCTCTCAGTTCCTCCCCAAACCTGCTCCTCCTTCTCCCAGCTCCTCCTTACACCTGCTCCTCCTTCTCCCAGCACCTCCCCACACCTGCTCCTTCTTCTCCCAGCTCCTCCCCAAACCTGTTCCTCTTCTCAGTTCCTCCTTACACCTGCTCCTCCTTCTCCCAGCACGTCCCCACACCTGCTCCTCCTTCTCCCAGCACCTTCCCACACCTGCTCCTCCTTCTCCCAGCAGCTCCCCACACCTGCTCCTCCTTCTCCCAGCTCCTTCCCACACCTGTTCCTCCTTCTCCCAGCTCCTCCCCACACCTGCTCCTTCTTCTCCCAGCTCCTCCCCAAACCTGTTCCTCTTCTCAGTTCCTCCTTACACCTGCTCCTCCTTCTCCCAGCACGTCCCCACACCTGCTCCTCCTTCTCCCAGCTCCTTCCCACACCTGTTCCTCCTTCTCCCAGCTCCTCCCCACACCTGCTCCTCCTTCTCCCAGCTCCTTCCCACACCTGCTCCTTCTTCTCCCAGCTCCTCCCCAAACCTGTTCCTCTTCTCAGTTCCTCCTTACACCTCCTCCTCCTTCTCCCAGCACGTCCCCACACCTGCTCCTCCTTCTCCCAGCTCCTTCCCACACCTGTTCCTCCTTCTCCCAGCTCCTCCCCACACCTGCTCCTCCTTCCCCCAACACCTCCCCACACCTGCTCCCCTTTCTCCCAGCACCTCCCCACACCTGCTCCTCCTTCTCCCAGCTCCTCCTTACACCTGCTCCTCCTTCTCCCAGCTCCTCCTTACACCAGCTCCTCCTTCTCCCAGCACCTCCCCACACCTGCTCCTCCTTCTCCCAGCACCTCCCCACACCAGCTCCTACTTCTCCGAGCACCTCCCCACACCTGCTCCTCCTTCTCCCAGAACCTCCCCACACCTGCTCCTCCTTCTCCTAACACCTCCCCACACCTGCTCCTCCTTCTCCTAGCACCTCCCCACACCTGCTCCTCCTTCTCCCAGAACCTCCCCACACCTGCTCCTCCTTCTCCCAGAACCTCCTTACACCTGCTCCTCCTTCTCCCAGAACCTCCTTACACCTGCTCCTCCTTCTCCCAGCTCCTCTCCACACCTGCTCCTCCTTCTCCTAGCACCTCCCCACACCTGCTCCTCCTTCTCCCAGAACCTCCTTACACCTGCTCCTCCTTCTCCCAGAACCTCCTTACACCTGCACCTCCTTCTCCCAGCTCCTCCCCAAACCTGTTCCTCCTCTCAGTTCCTCCCCAAACCTGCTCCTCCTTCTCCCAGCTCCTCCTTACACCTGCTCCTCCTTCTCCCAGCACCTCCCCACACCTGCTCCTTCTTCTCCCAGCTCCTCCCCAAACCTGTTCCTCTTCTCAGTTCCTCCTTACACCTGCTCCTCCTTCTCCCAGCACGTCCCCACACCTGCTCCTCCTTCTCCCAGCACCTTCCCACACCTGCTCCTCCTTCTCCCAGCAGCTCCCCACACCTGCTCCTCCTTCTCCCAGCTCCTTCCCACACCTGTTCCTCCTTCTCCCAGCTCCTCCCCACACCTGCTCCTTCTTCTCCCAGCTCCTCCCCAAACCTGTTCCTCTTCTCAGTTCCTCCTTACACCTGCTCCTCCTTCTCCCAGCACGTCCCCACACCTGCTCCTCCTTCTCCCAGCTCCTTCCCACACCTGTTCCTCCTTCTCCCAGCTCCTCCCCACACCTGCTCCTCCTTCTCCCAGCTCCTTCCCACACCTGCTCCTTCTTCTCCCAGCTCCTCCCCAAACCTGTTCCTCTTCTCAGTTCCTCCTTACACCTCCTCCTCCTTCTCCCAGCACGTCCCCACACCTGCTCCTCCTTCTCCCAGCTCCTTCCCACACCTGTTCCTCCTTCTCCCAGCTCCTCCCCACACCTGCTCCTCCTTCCCCCAACACCTCCCCACACCTGCTCCCCTTTCTCCCAGCACCTCCCCACACCTGCTCCTCCTTCTCCCAGCTCCTCCTTACACCTGCTCCTCCTTCTCCCAGCTCCTCCTTACACCAGCTCCTCCTTCTCCCAGCACCTCCCCACACCTGCTCCTCCTTCTCCCAGCACCTCCCCACACCAGCTCCTACTTCTCCGAGCACCTCCCCACACCTGCTCCTCCTTCTCCCAGCACGTCCCCACACCTGCTCCTCCTTATCCCAGCACCTCCCCAAACCTGCTCTTCCTTACACCTGCTCCTCCTTCTCCCAGCTCCTCCTTACACCTGCTCCTCCTTCTCCCAGCTCCTCCTTACACCTGCTCCTCCTTCTCCCAGAACCTCCTTACACCTGCTCCTCCTTCTCCTAGCACCTCCCCACACCTGCTCCTCCTTCTCCCAGCACCTCCCCACACCAGCTCCTACTTCTCCCAGCACCTCCCCACACCTGCTCCTCCTTCTCCCAGCACGTCCCCACACCTGCTCCTCCTTCTCCCAGCACCTCCCCAAACCTG